TCCCTGCGTCGGAAATTTAGACATTCCAGGTGAAATAAGAACAAAGAGAAAAAATATTTCTTCTTGACTAGGCAGTGTCTGTATCAGATACCTCTGTGCATCAGTGCTCCCTGATTTTTGCTATTCACTCATACATGTTTAATGGCAGGAAATGCATATGGGAAGGATCACGTGCGAATTCCCGGTTTCCCTCATTCTCCTATGTCAGCAGCTATATATCTTTATAATCAGGATAGGAAGAAGTAAGGGGAACACTGATATTTTGCCACTGGCTGGACTGAATTGTTTGAAAGATCACAGGACTGCTAGTTTCAAAATATAAAATGTTAGCACATATATTGTGATTGTTAGTGACAAATCCAGAGTGCTGTTATGGCTCAGCCTCTTGGAGTGTGTGAGATTTCAGAAAAAGTACTAGAAGGACCTGAATTAAAATAAAAAAATAAACCAAACTAATATCCCAAAACAACTGCCACCAAGAAATACAGAAAGAAACAAAGACTACATTGCGACAAAGATAAATAAAGTATCCTGAAGGTTGTATTCATTAAATGAGGGTATGTATTAACTATAAGATCTATAAGAAGCATATAATTCTTGTTATAATTTAGCCAAATAAAGATTATTACCAGTGGCCATTATTACCATCTCTACACACACATATTTAAATTTAAATTTCAGCACATGAAAGAATTTGTACTTGCAACTAAGCAACATTACCTTCTAGTTCATTTAGTTTAAGTTCTACCTACTAGCGATTAAACAAGAAAATCTGCTCTGGGCCAAATTACCCTCTAAATGGAGCATATCACAGGGTGTGATATCCGCCCTTGAATTCAGGCTGTCTACAGCTCCACTTACAGTCATTGCAATGACTAGTCCATGAACCATCTCAGAAGACTGTTGCAGCTTTATACATGAAGAGCTAGTTGAGAGGTGTTTCCATGGTATTGAAGAAGAGCCAGAGCTGAAGTGGAAAAAAAGTACTTTTAACCATCCCCTTATGCCTTTTCTTTAGCACATACGGTGGGTTTCGCCTATTAGGCAGAATGTCATCCAAAATGCATAAAAAGTTCACCTTGATTTATATCAAGGAAGTTGGAAGCTGGCAACTTCACTGATGGGGGGGTTTTGTAGTTTTCCCTATACTTGAAAGCAGCATCTGATTTGCTCACAGCCTATAAAGTGATCAGCATTTGTGCTTCTTCATATACAAAAATGCTGCAGGCTTTAGTAACCTACTTTCTCGTTAGTAACCACCATTCTCGTTATGAGGGCAGTTTGATTCTTAATTTTTTTAAAATAACCCTTTAAAAAAGTAAAATAACCATAGCGCTAAGACAAATAGTAATAGACTAGTGCGTTTTCAGTCAATATGAAGGGATGGAATTAGGTTATTTTTTGGTATGTTTCAAAGGTAAATGTGGTACTCTCTGCACACTGCTCTTTTTGCATATATATAAAAATATGCATAAAAGCACCTCATAACAGTATTTAGAAACTACTGGTGTTTCAAACCTTGTGTTTTATATACACATGCTTAAAAAGGTTTTAAAGACAGTTGAATGCTGGCCTCTTATCTGTTCCACTTCCTCCTTCCACTCCACTTTCTTTCTCCTTAATCCTCACATTGTCGTTATAAAATATTATATCCCAAAAAGCAAAAGGCTTCCTAAATTGCCTACAGTTCTCCTAAAAAGGAGAAAACTTGTGAACTGAAAAACACCTACAAATTAACAGCGGTTTAGACAGCAGGGATAATTAATCATATCTTGGCTAATATTGTCAGGAAAGAAAATGTGGTGATTTGATTCTTGCTGCTGAAAAAAAAATATTAAACAGATATTGAAATGCATACATATGCACTTTCTTGGATGTCCTTTTTTAAATATGTTGAGTTGTCTCACTGCATGTGTGTTTTCTTTCAGTCTCACTAGTGTTCTTTTTGTCAAATGACAAAATTCCATTGTTATATGATGCTGTCATGACTGAGAACTTTGAATGCAGTATATGACAATAAGACTATGTGACCACCTGGATTTTTTTGGTACTGTAGCTTCAGCTACTCAAAACCTTGCATTCATGCAGATCATGTGTGTCTTGTTCATTTTCAGCACTGAGTCAGTTCAAGCGTGGTCAAAGCATCTTAATTGTAGGTTGCATGCTACCTTCCACCTAGACAAAAGTGATCAAATTTTTTAAATAATTTATTCTAATTTTTACCACTCAGCAAAATTGCTGCAATACTAGCATATTATCTGTTACCTTAGACAATATTTCTAAGATACTGTTAATTTGGTTGAGTATGGTTAACATAACAAATGGTTAACAAATTGAGACCCCCAAAAAGTAATAAAGATGCTATCTTCTTAGATTGCTCACAAAAATATTTTAGCATATGGAAAAGAAGTATATTCATCTTCCTTATGTAGCCACACAGAATAAAGTATGAATAAAGATTATTGATTTTAAAAGGCTTGAAAAGTATTCTTAATCTTCCCTGAAGTTACTGACCTTTCACTATACATTTGAAAATACGAGTTCACCCCTGCTATAGACTGTTGTAAAAGCATGATAAATTTACATATAGATATATGTAACATATCTATATGTAAAGATAAACCACAATGAATGGCATATTTGGAAAGGTAATATTCCAGATCACCATAGAAACAGTAGTAGATACAATTTTTTAATGCATTTATCAGCAGTGGCAGAAAGCATTATCTGATAGATTTAGAAAATGTTAGAAAGATCAAGAGTTAAAACCAAATCAAATTCAGAGCAATTACGATTATATTTAAAAAAAAAAAAAAAATCTAGCTGATTTGTTCTTTTTTTGACTTTCCACAAAAAGGAACTCTAACCAGTATCATTCTGGTGATAAGTATTACGAAATAAGTATGTGCTATGCAGCACAGCTGTGTGGTTATTCTAAATGTTCAGGAGCACCTAACAGTAAACACAAACAGTGGCTTTAAAGATATTTCTGTACTGGAGTGTACTTTGATGGTAAGAAGCTGTAACATGCTAAATTCTGAGGTTTCTGTGCAACAGAAACCATACTGTACAGAGACACTCCACCTACAGTACTGTGGTCAAAAAGTTGATTGAAAGGCATTTTAGATGCAGAAAAATATGTTGAGTTAGTACATTTTATTTTCTGTATGTTTAGCTTTTTCTAAAACATGCTTATATAGATATATATATGTTTCAACAAATGCATTGCAATTTTCTGTAATCAGAGAAAACATTAAATGAGTATTTAAAAGACTAGGGTTTCAGAATTTGAATGAAGTTGTTACCTATCTCTCATTCCAAATATCAAAAGCCATTGAGACAGACAAATTTAGAAAGAACTTACTATCAATTATGCATACTTGAGACCGGTGCTGTGGAAAGCGTGTTTTTAAGATGCTTGAATAATTGTATTTAATGGAAATCCATCTTTTCTTAACAGTATGTTGGCAGGGGCTAAAGAGATTGAAATGACAACAAGAGGAATAACATTCAGTATACGTTTGGGAGAATAAATGTTCGTAGTATTGGCACAGAGCCTCATCTTTCTGAGATGGACTAGCAAACAGGGATTAACAATACTTAAAGGTCACGTTTTCCATGGCCTGACACGCTGGGATTTTAAGGTAGTCTGGGGTCGCAGTTAGCATTAACTTGCATTAGGAGTGTGACAAGATAAAACAGCAGCCATATGAACCGTGTACAGACGAATCTTCTTGCCTCAGCATTAAAGTGCAGAGGTGCTACTGCTTATGGGTATTAAGGAATGGTAGCAACAAGTGCAGCAATAGGCTTGCCTGCCCTTGACATATCAAATGCCTTGACTACATGTTAAATTTGATTAATAATAGGCTTAGCAAAACCATATTTTCATCTTAAAAAAATCTTGTCATTGAAAATTAGTAGAGAAAAAAATAGATATAAAATATTCACAGTCATTGTATACACTTAGTGGAAATTGCATGTGTGAAGAAACAGAAGAAGGAGGAAAACTCAACCATACAATTAGCTTAAACAGTTTCTTATTCTGAGTCACACGTCTTACTGGAACTTGTACGTTAGGGCAGAAAAGAGGAGAAAAAAAAAATTTGATGTGCAGGTCTTTCGTTGTCAAAACAGTCCCTGTGGAAGATTATGGGTTTGTACAGAGTAACGATATTTTTCATACCACCTAGGTTTTGCCTGATGTCAGGGCACTAGCTGGCCTACTGAGAACTTGTAAGCACATCCCTAGTTTTTCCTATACAATATGACCCAAAGTCCTTTGTACTAAAACACGCCAGTTCAGATTTCTAAGCATCTAATTTGAAATGAGATAAAGTATGCTACATCTGTGTTCAGAAAAGACCATGTTTCAAAGGTGGTATTTGTTGCTGGCCAACTGTTTGTTTGTTCTTCATTCGTGCTTTGTATTTCTCATTTCTCACATGAGTGTTTGAATTTTTAACACTTGATATTTCTTCAAAACTATTGTGTGTTTATACGAACAATGTGTCTATTTCACACAACTTAAATTCTGTATGAAATAATTTGTTCCACAAAAAAATCTAGTGGGAGTTGCAGGGCATGGAATCAAAGTCAATAACTATCCAAAATAAGATTCGACTCCACGTGTTCAAAGTATTTAGAGGTGCAGTTTTAAAATACTGATGGAAAAGATGTATGCAGTATAAAGAGTATACGAATTAAAAAGTTACAGGGAAAGATGCAGTATCAACACTTCGTAGTGCTGATTAATGAAAATGTGCCATGCTCTTTACCTGTACCTCGAGTTTTGTGCAGTGAGAATTAGGTATATTTCCTCACTTAGCTAACATACTTACATTCTGTTTTGGAACTATGTTTATATTTATGCTTTTGCCTTATGAACATATTCAATTCAAAGACTACAGCAGTCACACATTGTATTTCCGAAAAAAGAAGGAGGACTACAAAGACCAGCTTGGGGATTTTTGACGGACCTTTTTTTTCTTTTTTTCCAGGTGACATTTACAAAGAGGAAATTTGGGTTAATGAAGAAGGCTTACGAGCTGAGTGTTCTGTGTGACTGTGAGATTGCTCTGATCATCTTCAACAGCACCAACAAACTGTTCCAGTATGCCAGCACTGATATGGACAAAGTGCTGCTGAAATATACCGAGTACAACGAACCGCATGAGAGTCGCACAAATTCGGATATTGTTGAGGTAAGATTTCACGCTCGCTGAGGATTCTTTTTTTGCTTTGCTCTGAGACGGAGGTACTCAAAGCGAGAGGCCTGATGTCTTTCTCAAGGGTCGTGGGACGTACCCTGGAGGTGACAGCAGCAGGAGAGCGGAACAGGGACAGCCGGGTATTGGTTTGGGGTTGGGGATGGTGCAGCACAGACTGGAGGGAGCCCAGTCTTGTGTGAGCTTTTCTAAGTTTTATCCTGCCGAGTCTCGCGTGCTCAGCAGAAGCTCCTGCGACGGGATCGCTGGCTCCCTGTCGGCCAGCTTTCTGTGCTGCTTTGTCCCGTTAGTCCTCTCCACGCCTTGACCACTACCTCCCGGCTGAATGTCCCCCTTGTCCCCCCGTCGCTCCGGGTGACCTGCTCTCCAGAAAACATTGTGTGCCTTGTCTCCTCAATCCAAAAACTATAATGTCCTCCGTCCAGGAGAAACTAAAAAAATACGTCGTAAAAGATGTGGAAGAAAAAGATTTAGAATCACTGCTTTAAGGCATTTGAGTGACTTGATTAGCTTTTTGATTATTTACAGAGGAAGGAGGTTTAATAAATGCAAGAAAGGTTTACTGACGAGCTGCACAGTAATAAATGTTTCAGCTACCTCACACAGAATGCTGTTACCATAATAATATTAATAAAAGTATCAAAGCAATACTGTCATAATGCTAGAGACACCTTGTAATTATTTTTTAAAAAAAATATATAGGGCAAGTTGTATTTACAATTACTGAAAATGATTAATTAAAATTTAAGATTTTCAATTTTAAGCTTCTAGTATTTGCAGAAAAGTCAGTTTACTTTATAATCACATTAGGATTCAAGCCATGCAAAATAAATTAAGCTTTCAATTATTTTGTTGTAACAGAAAAACACTCAGAGTGGTATCTAAAAAATTGGTTGTGTGACTTATGTAACTCCTGTTTTGAAAGCACCTAAGTGATTCGGCATCTAACGGTATCATTTTAAAAAGTACTGGAAGGTGCTGTCTTAGAGATCAGTGAAAATTTATTCATAGATGCTACCGACTACCTTGGCATATACATTTAGATTACTTCAGATCTTTTTAAAGGTGTTAGCTTCAGATTTTTGGCATCTTCACCTGGGTTAGTCACATATTTGAGACTAGCAATGGAAGAAAGTGTGTGAATTACATATAAAATGGTTTTGATGGACAAAAAATACTGTATAATAGACATGGTTAGACCTGTTACAAGATGTCACAGTCACACCACCATAGATTGGCAGAGACTGCATCCCAGGAATATATATCCCTTTACTGTCTATCCTTATGTCAGCATATAAGATGATACTGTTTTGCCTCCTTCATGACTTCCCAGCAGATTTTCTGCCCCATTAGGAGAGGACGAGGTTCTGACAGCAGAACAAAAATTTATGTGAGTTAAGACTGAGAGGAAAGTACATAATTTCTTCCTCCTCTCCATCATCTCTTTTCCTCTCTTACTTCAAATCTCCTATGTCGACATGAAGCCTTTCCTGTCACCTAGCTCTGGTAAGCCCACGTCCTGTCCAGCAGAATTTGAATTCTGTCCCCAAAATAATGCCCTGTCCTCTTTTAGTGGCAAAAAGCCAGAATATTCTTAGCAGGAAAAGTTTCCTGTTGTATCTTTACTTCTTCCTGCAGGCTTTCTTGTGGGAATAGGTGAGTAAGCCACTAATTAGGTATTTATTACTTGCTTCACAATGAATGAATACTTTTGATCATGAGGACTATGTTTTTTCAAGAAACTTCAGTGAAAATGTAAAATTTAATATAATGTCTATTTTGTTGTAACTTTGAGATTTTCAGAAGTAGCACTCTCTGCACCAGCAAAGTCCCTTTCCTCCAAAAACAGTGGGCCAGCTCGGATAGGCTGATAGGCAGTTTTGCATCCAGACATGTAATTTTCCGGCTATACCCAAAATTTGACGGGCATCTCTTTTTCACTCCTCTAAAAAGAGCCAAATAAAAGTAGATAATTGAAATAAACATTACGTAAATTGAGTAATCTAACAATAGGCAGAAAAGGCCAAATGCAGTGCATGTTTATAGTTTTTCCGTATGTTCTGTCAGCTCTGAATTCAGTCATTTGATCGTTTTGCTGTTACATTTTTCAGCTTTCTGCCTGTACTGCAAAATGCTTAAGCCACACCAATGCCAGTACTGTTTCAGGATCAAAGGAGTACATGTGCAGGCTGTAGGTTTTGAACAAGGGTTTCATATTATCGTGCCTTTACTTGATAATTAACATCACAGTTATGAGTACAATAGAGGAATAGAGTCCATAAAAGTACGCAATCTGAGAAATGGCTTGACTAGTGTAGTTTGGATATATTTTTAGGTACAGGATATAAATCTGCCACACATTTAAATATTTAAATTGATCATTTAAACTGGCTACATTACACATATTTTCCTTGTACGGAGTCCATTTTTTTTTTGCTTTCAGACAGCTAGATTTCACACTTAGAAGTTTTTAATCTTGTTCTTCCAGAGCAATCAACAGCAGCTGAGAATCAGACAGTATTATTAAATCTGATCATTTTCAACTAAATGACTGTTCAATAACTATATTTCAGTGGAAGAAAAGGGCATCGCTGTGCTCGCAGATTTCTGCACAGTATTAGAGAAAGAAAACTTTTTTAGGTAGACTTATGAAAATTTGAAATATAACTGTCAACCATATAAAGGTCTTTAATTTAGAATCCAATTTCTGTTCACATTCAACATAATATTAACTATTTAGTTACTTTGTGGTTGTGGTAGAACTGTGTTATCAGTCATTAGAACGTGGTATAAATTCTTTGAACAATCTATATTCAAAGAAAATCAAAAGAGTAGGTCTCTAATATGTAGTTAATTACTTTTAAGTTAAACCACTACCATTCAAATGAAAAAATTACATGAATTTTCATGTAGGTCTGGCTAAAGCTGTTAATTTTATTAAGCAGTTTTCAGTTTAATTACTGGGATTAATTATGTTTAGCATTTTTGAAGGAATGAGTCTTCAGGCCATCATTTGTCATTTGAAGTATCAGAAGATACCAAGTGTCATACATCAACAAACATTACACTGTTTTTCAAGGGAAAAAATATTTTACATTCATTTTAATACTTGAAATACTTAAAAGTACTTACTTTACTGCAAATCAAGCAATTTGGTCCTACCCAACTTAGAGGTATCTGATCTGATTACATCTGTCATAAATGGAGTGACTAATATTAAGAGAATTGTAAAGTTCAGTTACTATTATTCTCTGAGCTCTTTTGGTTTAATGATTTAAACAAATAGCTTATACTTTGTTTACACATGTAGTAATTTCATTTAGATGTAATAAATATAACTGAGATGGTCTTTTCCAGTTGCCTCATTCAAAATGTAGTTGATTAACATGCAGTTTGGTATATATGAGTTCTTCAGATCACAAAAATTATCTACCACCTGAATATGTTTCAGTTATTACACAGTAAATATACTTCACAACATCCACAGGTAACTAAAAATCAGTGTGTATTCATGAAGGAGAAAATACTTGCATTCAAGTTTATCCATTTTATGTAACAGTGGCAATTATTGTGAGTCTTACAAAAATCTGTGTGGAGGTTTTATGATATGTATTAGTTCTGAAAAAAAAAATGTTCATTCTGAGACTTCTGTTTAGAGTTAACTGGATTCTTAAAACTGAAGCCTTTATGTCCTCACCCACCAAACCACTCACACCACAGTCTTTCTTTCAATTTTGCTTCAGTAAAAAAGTGAATGTTGGTTGCTGGATACAGTAACTTATTTTAAGGAATAGCAGAACCTGTGCAGGGTTCCTTCAACACTCAGGAAAAACCTCATTATTTTCATCTTTAAGCTAACTTCCAAGTGCTGTATGTAAATATCAACAACAATATATTCAGCAGCTGGCATTTAATATCCTGTGATATAATTACTAGAAGATTTGTAATTCTTTAAAATGGGATTACATTTTCTCTCATTAAAAAATCCTGTGGCATTTGGAGCACAGTTTTTGGTACAGAAGTAGTGTTTTTACAACTAGAGTTCCAATCTGTCCTTAGAAGTTTGTCAATACATCCAGTTACTATCTGCTCTATCAGAAAAAACTTGCCTTATGGGTTTGTTGTTTAACATTATCAACACAGTTGTATAGGACTAGGCAATAATTTTCTTACGGAAATGAGGAAATGAGGAAGAGTAAATGTCAGAGTTTTACAACAGACAAGTACATGCATTATGCATTTTTTGCATTTATTTAAAATGAGGCCAGATCCCCTCCTTGTTTCTGTAAAACAGAAGTGGATGTAACACAACTTATTTCAGTGATATTTCACTGCCACACTATCTGAGTAATGAGAATCCAGTGCCAAAGCACTGTCAGCCCACTGCTTAGGAGCTCAGAAAGGACAGTGCCCTTTGATTGTAGGGGACGTATTTCAGAGCAGGAATACATGGAAATATTTTGCATCTTGGCTGCAAATGTAATTACAACCCTAACCATATTACATAAATCTGCTGCAGTTCTTCAGCTAAGCCATCAAGCCTTTGCTGATTTAAGGTGAAACTTCCTGCCCATTTTCTCTCTCACTGTCCCTTCTTCCTTGTCACTTCTTTCATGTCAAAACATCAGCTACTATCTCAGCTTTAGCAGACCTCTAGTGAGTTTTTACTAAGTCTTGGTTTTGATTCTGTTTCTTAGACACTGAGTCTAATACGCTGATCCTTGCTCTGTGTGCACATAAATCATTCCTCCACAAATCACCAACCACTTCATCTCAAAGCTCTTTTGAAGCCTTCAAACCATCAATTTCTTTGACTCTGCTGCTCTTATTGCCCCTCTTTCCCCAACTGGCTTCTATTCCTCTGCTGATTCAGTGGTCACTACCTTTAACTCAAGTACTCCTACTAGGTCAGCCCTTCAAATTCATCCCATTAACCATATCTTCCGTTTTCTGGCCAACATAAATCCACCTCCTCA